ACAAAAATTTAATCATTTGTAAAATTGAAGAAACACATTTTCTTGATTCATGATTTGAAAAAAATCATAAACAAATAGTATTTTCAAATAATATTCTTAATATTATTTTATATTGTATTTATTATTTATAGGCCCCTCGGTACCAAAAGTTATATTGATGAATCTGCAGATAAATCAAAAAATAATGATATTGAACAATCATACTACACTTGCAGCTAAATATTCTACCATGGCTAAACCTAACATACAGATAATGCAGGTAGATTATTATTGACAGCTAATAACAGCAGGACAAGCCAATACATTTTAAGTAATTATTGATATATCAATACAAAATTAAAAATGATTTCAACAGGTGGAGGTGGAGAGCGGATTTATAGCTCAAACCAAATTGATGCTGCCCCCTGCATTCAAACAATACGATGAAACCGCATTTCCGTTTATTTTATACATGTAAGAATATTGCTATAATTTTTAGTCTTTTCGTTGTAAAGATTTAACAATTTAACTTACTAATCGAATGATGGTTTGGTAATTTGTGCATTAAATTTGAATAATATTTGAATGTTTAATGTTAGTGTAGATTCAGGGTAAACCATAATATATTTTGATGGTTTTAGAAAAGGCAAGCCTGGCACTCARTCAGTAACTGAAGAATGGTCTGTAGATTGGGCTACGTACTTATGCAGCAACAAAAACATTATCATCGCTATAATCGACGGTCGTGGAACACTGGGTCAAGGTGACAGGTCCAGGACCTCAATTTACTACAAAATGGGAATCACGGATATCCAGGACCAGCTTTCGGTTTTGTTGTAATTACAGAAATTTTATTTACACTTATATTCATTATTTTTTGAACATGGTGCACGCATGCTATAATATCAATTGATATCCAGGTATCTCAAAGACACTATGAAGTTCATAGACAAAGATCGTATTGGAATTTGGGGCAAAGGATATGGTGGATATGCCACCGGAATGATAATGGCCAAACAACCGGAAGTATTTAGATGCGGAATTGCCATGTCACCGATTACAAATTGGGCGCATTTTGGTAATTATTATAACATTTAACTTTAAACATTAAATAATAAGTAGAATATAACTTGTAGGTAAGTATTCGTTAGGTGTGTAAAATCATATGCATTCAGAGATAAATGGTTAAATAATATYTGAAAATTTAAAATATTATAAAACCAACTACATATATTTTTTTCTTTTCACCTTTAAAGAAAAAAATTAACTCCTTTGTCAACAATCAAGCTAATTTACATCAAAAATTGTTCTYTAATTATTCTTATTGATATAATATTAAACATTGTTTGATTATATTTGCAATAAAAAGAAAAAAAAACTTAAGCAATTAACTATTCATTTTGAAACTTAAATGATGTATTGTTATTTCAGATTCGGCTTGGACTGAAAAGTTGATGGGCACACCAAATGTGACAGATAATTACCGTGGATACGAAGACTCAGATTTAAGTAAAAAGGCAATTAAATTGGATAAAAAACTGTTAATGTTAATCCATGGAAGTGCAGACGAAACGGTCCATTATCAGCATAGCATGATGCTGATTAGAGCATTAACAGAAAAGGGAATATTATTCAGACACCAAGTGCGTGGCCTTTCATTACTTCATTACTTTTTATCATACATTTTATTAAGTATAAGTTTAATATTTAAATACGAGAAAAGTTAAAAAAAAAAAATGCACTAGTTTAGAAATATTTATCTCTAAATAATGTCAATATTTTGATTATTAAATCAATATATATAATTCCTGTTAAAGAAGTTATAAATTAGTTTTGAAAACAAACTTAAAATYAAGTTACAAAAGTTAAAATACTAATAATATCATTTAGAAAAAATATTCTGTTAAGTTTGAATAACATGCATTTATTAAGTTGGTTTTCTAAAAGAAACTAACAATAAACTATGTTCACTATTTTTATTACTTTTTTTTTTTCAAATTGGTGTATTATATTTGAAGAACCCACTAATACTAAAATAAATTTATATA